GCTGGGAAAGACCTGTGAGAGCATCCAGCCCAACCTAAGACCCATCGCCACCATGCCAACTTCACCACGGCACTGACCGCCACGTCCCGCCTTTCCTTAAGCGCCTCTCCAGCACCTCCCTGGGTGGCCCATTCCAATGTCTCATCACCCTTTCTGTGAAGAAATTCCTCCAAATGTCCAACCTGAACCTCCCCTGGTGCAGCTTGAGGCCCTGCCCTCCTTGTCCTGTGGCTGAAAAGGCCAAACCCCACCTGGCCCCTTTCAGATGGTTGTAGGGGGTACCAAGGTCATTCCTGAGCCTCCTTTTCTGCAGGCTGAACATCCCCAGCTCCCTCAGCCACTCCTCACGGGGCTGCCCCGAGCCCTGGCGCTGCCCAACACTCACCCTGCAGTGCCGGAAGCTTGTCCAAGTGCCTTTGGAGGCACGGTACCAACCATTCCAGCTGGCACTGGACCTGTCTGGAGCATCACTGAGAGGCACAAAGGTGACAGTCACTCCAGTGGAGCTGTGCTTCCCGTGGCCAAGAACCACCAGGAGCTGTGGGGTGACTGTGGCCCGTAAGGACCACAGCGGTTTCATCATGCATGTTTTCCCAACCATGCATTTTAAAGAAGTTGCACAAGCTGAGTCATATCTCAGAGCTGTTGCTCACTGCATCCCTGAGCTCCAGAAGCCTGGGGGGTGCTCTGCTCATCCCAGTGCTCCATGGATGCAGGTCCTCACCCAGATCCCTGTGCCACCAGTTTCTCTGCCGCTCCCTGGACACCTCATCACATCTGCAGGTGAAAGAGGCCACAGGAAAAGTCACTCTGTGCCATGCTGAGCTGTGACAAAGCAAGCCTGCAAAAAACACAGGCAGATTATTTTCTTTCCAGCTGTGATGCCAGACACCACCTTAATATTCTCATGGGGTTTAAAATGTAACAGCTTGTGCATCCATTATTTATACCCTAAGGGAAAGCTCTGGAGCACATTCCTCATCTAACTGCTGTACGTGCTTTCCAGAAATCCAGCCTAGCAGAAATCCAGGGCACCTCTTGGGAATAAATATCAACAGCACAGGCAACTCTTTGTGTTACAGGGAAATATCACCTTGTTTGGCTGGCACCTCATTTGACTTCCCTGGTGGGTGGGTCTTCAGCCAATTGATCAATACCCTGCTTTCCAAATGGGGCAGAAACTGATAGGCAGTGATAACATTTTCATTTCAAGCCCTTTTCCCTCAATCCTTCCTCTGAGCTCTTCCTTTCCATGGAATCTCCACCCAACCTAACTGCTCTCCTGGGAGGCTGGAAGTGCTCTTTCCAGCATGGAAGCACCTCAGTACTCAGAGATCCCTGCTCACCTCCAGCTCCTTCAGTATGGCACAGTTTAAAGCTGTTCACCCCTCTGAAGAGGCCAAGCTTCACCCTTCTGGGTAATTTTGCAAGATAGTAAACCTAAAAAAAAAAAAAAAAATTATTTTTAAAAATTGCATTCTTCTTATTCTCAAAGTGACTGTCCTTCACAGAGCTCACATGTTCCCTTTTTGTGTCCTAAACCTGATTTGGCCACACACAGCCCTCACCTACCATGTCCCTTCCCTGAGATTACATTGCCACAGGAACAGCCTAGACTTCCCTGTTTGTTGTGTAGTAACACAGGTGTTCAGTACACAGAACACCTGGGACAATATCTGGTCTTCTTACAGCAGAAAATTCTTTATCCAGATAGATATTATCAAATTACTCTCTTCTGCTACTTCCAGAGAGGAAACAGGGTGCTGGGACAACTTAATTTGTCCCAGGGAACATATATTGCCTCTTCTTCCTTCTTGCTGTGTATGTTAGAAATTCAGACCTTTGTTATCCTTATTAACCTTTGTTTTGGAGAGGTTTCTAGTAGCTTAGAGGATTTAGGTGTTTAAAAAAAAAGGAGGTAATAATTTCTAGGAGGAGGAAAAGAAAATTTTAGACTGATTTTACATTTTTAATGGTTTTGACTGCTTTTTCTTTAGCCTGCATCTCTGTAAGTCCTAGAGGAATTGTACAGTGTACACTGTTTAATGTGCAAAGATATGCACTCCTGCAAAAAATATCCCACCCAACACACTCACTTTGAATTAGTAATAGAAGAACATGAGAGAAAAAGGGGAAAAAACAGGCTCTATTTCTACAAGAAAGCATTTTGTGTCCCTTATTTTTCTTCTGCAAGTTGGGAGAAACTGTGACTAGCAGATAATGCCACATTCATGTTTACTTTGGTTAAACAGAAACGCAGGGTTTTTCCCAAAACTCAAGAGCTGGCAGCAGCACAGTTTTTGCATACAGACTTTGAAGAGTTTGGAAACTATTTTTCACAGAGTCAGTGTTGTTGAGGCTGGAAGGGACCTCTGGAGATCACCCAGCCCAACCCCTCTGCCAAGGCAGGGTCACCTTGAGCAGATTGCACAAGGAAATGTCCAGAAGGGGTTTAAATATCTCCAGAGAGGGAGAATCCATGGCCTAGCCAGGCAGCTGTTCCAGTGCTCTGGCCCATTAGCACAAAGAAATTCTACCTCACGTTGAGTGGAACTTTTTGTGATTCAGTTTGTGGCCACTGCTCCTCATCCTGGCACTGGGCACCACTGAAAAGGGCCTGGCACCATCCTCTTGCCACCCTCCTTTGAGGTATTTATACATATTGACAAGATCCCCTCTCAGTCTTGTCTTCCATAACTTGGCTTTTTCATCATTTGATTGAGAAGAATGTCTTGGATCACCCACTATACAAGGATAAGTGTTCTCAGGAAAACTTAGGATGGAAAAGGACGGGAATGATGAGCTATTCCAGTGCTGAATGGATGCTAAGGAGCAATTTCAGTCATGATAACCTTTCCTGATAACCTTGATGCGTAAGAAAGCCCATAAAATAGAAGCAATTTGTCTTCCTGTCTCTTCCTCCTACCTTTTCCCAAGCTTCTTGGAATATATTGGACTGTAGGCAAAATGAGTTTAGAGGCTGTTACTGTAGAGAGGCAAAGGCCAAGGTAACAGCGACCTCCACCCTGGCCAACATCAGCTTCCCAAGACTCTCTGTTTAAACAGCTCTGCATAAAATCATCATCTGTAAGTTAGGAAAGTAACGTTACCTCTACCCGGCTGTGGTGCAGTTTGTAATTATGGAAATGAACCACGGATTTCCCCTCGCCGCGCTGGGGTTTGTGGCCTGCCTGCCGCGGTCCATGGCTTGCCGCCTACGAGCAGCTTTCACAGCCACAGGGAGACGGGGCGGCCCCTCAGGGGCCCGGGGAGCGCCGGCGGCCGCAGGAAAGCGGCTGTGCCCCCTCAGGGACCGGGAGACTGCGGGAATTGGGAGAGGCCGGAGGTGTAGCCGTAGGGAAGCGACTGTGCCCCCTTAGGAAGCAGGAGCAGAGCGGGAATTGGGACGGGCCGGAGCTGTCCTGGACAGGGGCTGTGCGGCGCCATCGTAGCGTTCCTCTACAGGAGAGAGAATAGCGCTTTCATGGCGGCTCGTTGGTCTAGGGGTATGATTCTCGCTTAGGGTGCGAGAGGTCCCGGGTTCAAATCCCGGACGAGCCCTAGTTTTTCTTTTTTTTTTTAATCTTCTCCGCAGCAGCGGCGGCTCCCGCACACAGCGAAGGGCCACCGAGGGGACTGACAACGAGACCCACTCGTTCTTTTTTAGTGCAAGAAAAACCTTAAAGAACTCACCAAGGACCGGCCGCTCCTCTTCGTCTGGCACCGGGCGTCGCTACTCCCGTTTTTCTCAGGCAGACCCCGCATTCCTCCTCACCGAGCCAGCGCTGCGGGGCCGCTCCTCGCC